TTGGTTTTTAACCTTCTCTCCCAAGAGATGTGTCCAAAAAATGCTGTTTTTCTCTGTACTCTTTGTAATTTATCAATACTTTTTAATGTTCTGGTACATGTTGAACATACCTCAAGTGTGGTCTCTGGGAAAACATGAACATGGGCAATTTTATTTCCCAACAGCAAGAGGTGATTTGTAAAAAAAATAAAAGTTGCAACCACTCTTTGAATAAAGAATGATTCTTCCCAGCACTACAGAGCCTTCAGACACAAAAATCAAACACAAATAAATATTCCTTACACTGGTAATATACTTGCTGCTGTAATAAAACTATGCACCATACACATGCTGCAGAAATGAGTAACTGGCCTTATTAGACATCACTACCATGCCTGGAGCACACAGCCTGGACTGGCTGCTTTCATACACCATTCTGCGTGGGAAATAAGCTAGCTAGCACAGAGAGAGCCCCACAGGCAATCCCATCCTGCTGCCACAGCTGCCTGCCACTGTGCACAGCTACATCTGTGTCTGCCCTGAGATTCTTGCCTTGATCCAGCTAATGAAGTTCCAAGTGAAGCATGAATATTGCACGTGCAACATGCAGTAACAAAAAATCACAGCAGAGATTTAGAAGTTCATTAAATGACTGGATAATACTGTGCAGGAGTTAGAGAACTGCTGCTGAAGACTTCAGCAACACCATCAGTAAGTAGTTTCTACACATCTAATGCTTAAATGAATATTCTCCAAAAGACACTTTGTAGACACACAGACTAAACAGGAAAACAGTTTAAATCTCCCTTGTTCTACAGGGAACTCGTGAGAGGGAGATATTTTGACATTGCTTCTGCTTGTTCCCTGACTGTGGGTTTTTCCCATCTCTTCCTTTCAAATTAAATGACATGTTATGTATTTCTTCTGGCAGGCTGCTTTTAGCATTCTGCTGTGGTCTAACACACACAGCAGAGTTAAGCAATCGAAGGGCTCAATTCCCTCACACCACTGTGCAGCTCCTTGGAAATATTCTCCTGGTTTCAGCTCATTTCTACCTTCTCTGCTGTCCATAAAGGAGGAGCTGGGTATTTCCTGTCAATGCCTGGAGGTCTTGAGCCTCCCCTCTGCTTTGCACTCAGGATGAATGACACAGTGGAGGCACATCCCTTCTCTGTCCATAGAATGTGAGAGTGAAAAACTAATTTGTCCAAGGTGTTTATGAAGAGGACTAAAGACAGATGAAAGGAATCCCAGATTTGCTGACTCGCTTCTTTCAGTCTGCTCAGTCTGTGACATAACCTTCTTACGCTGCCTGCAGGCGTTTGGTTGGGTTTGTTTTTTCATTTAAAAGCTGAGACAAATGCTTCTATTACCAACAGTTAGAAAGGTGTCTGGATCAGTCACTTACAATGCCAAATCTCAGTTAGGATGGACTGCAAACTGGGGAGGCAGCAAGTACCTCCTGCTACAGTACACTTAAATTCAGAAGGCTCTGTGACCTCTTCTTAGGGCACTACCAGTATTGCCAGCACAGACCTTCAGCTACCACAACGAGAAATGCGTAGGAAAATCCAGAGCTCTACAATGCAAATATTGCTTTTGGTTTAGTCATAAACAGAAAACAGTCACAGAGAACACTCTTGTGATTCACTCATTTCCAAAGCAAACACAGATTTCCTATTTAAGTAACAGCAGATTTTTGGGGCCCTCAATTAAAATTACTTCCTTGAAATTGAAGTGAAGCAGCCAAAGCTCAGAAATTACGGATTGCAAGTTCCTCCTCTAGTCCTTTTCTCCCCCTTGTGGGAAACCATTCTGTACAATGAAAAGAATTAGGGTCTCCTGTAAAAAACAGTGCATGACTGGACAACTAAAAATTGGAATGCAGGATGCCCAAAGCAAAATCTGGTGCTTAATAACTGTCTCTTGACTCTGTAAACCATCAGCTTCTTCCAGGGCAGTACCATACACCCTCTATATGTAAAATTCCTACTGTATTCAGTATTCAGGCTGCATTCACCAGCCCTTTGCAAGATTTGAAATGGGGAAAATGTGCCCAATCCACACAGGAGATATGTCTCAGTGCTGTTTGGTGGAAGCCTGCTCCACCTTCCTGCCCCTGCAGGCAGCAATACCGTTCAAGGGAAGGAGCAAAGAATGCCTTCCAAGGCAGAATTTCAGTCTCAGCTTTCACACAACTTCCTTTGAATAGCCTTGATTCATTCCCTTATGAACTTCTGCATTCAGGTCAGCCCCTCTGGCTCCCTTTACTCAGACTAGTGCCTGGGCACCCCGTGGCCTGCAGCCCCACCAGAGCAGCCCAGCTCCTTGTTGGCAGAAGGACCAAACCACATACAGGAAAGGCACAGTTCTGCAGCACAGTTTATCTAAAGCACAGCAGCCTTCATGGGTTACCTGGAGGTACAAACAACCCTCTGGTGTTAGCACATCACCCCAGGAAGTCTCCACTGGGCATACAGCAGATTATCTGCTCACATTTTGGTGTCCATGAGGCTTTTGTTATAGTCTGCATCAGGCAGATACAGGCATCCTTATCTGGCTTGTGCTTGGTTCCCCTCTGGGTGCCTTTGGTTCTCCTACTCCGTCCTTAAACCGGCTTGTAATCCGTGTGATTTCTCTGGCACTCATTCTGCACAGTCCAGTGGGGTTCAGCTCTCACATGGCATAGCAAATGCCACATCTTTGAGCTGGTTTTGTCTCAGGTGAATTCCTTTATTCAACCCTACATGGCTTCTCTGTTCCAGGCCAAACAATGGAATAGCAAGACACACACTCCTAGTTTCTGTTCCCATAACAACTCCTCTACCAAATACTCTGAAAACCAGAGAAAACTCCCTTACATACCATGTCTGTGAGGGCACAGAATAACCACAAATTTTGTCTTATTCTTGGAATAGGATTATCCAGTGGGTTCAGAGAAGAGAGGGAGTCCATTTTTCTCCTATTTCCAGCTACTCCTACCTCTAGTATTGAGCAGTCTCTCCCCCCAGTGATACTCTGAGGGTGAGGAGGCAGAGGGAACTAGATTTGTACTGAGGATGAGATCATCTAGGTGAAACCACCATTTCCCCACTCCTCTCCACCTCCAGTAACTAGTATTACTTTCCAGTTCAATTTACTGCAGCTCTCTTGGTCCAGGCCCATCAAAGCCTCAGGTAAGAAAGAGATGCAGCTTTGCAGGATGCCAGCCTCCCCACTGAGGAGTGCAAGGAAGACTGGGAAAGAGGATATTCCTCTTGAGAACTCAGCTGGCTCCCAACAGCAGTCTATGAAAGACATGAGAGGCTGTGGGGCTCAGCCTCAGCTGAATTTAAAGACCTGCTGCAGCTGGCAGACATGCTGGATCTATTCACAGAGTAAAACAGTATTAACTACAGTTAATTAACACTGAACAGCATTAGGCAATGTATGGAAAGGTCAATTTTCAGAGATATTTAATTACTTAAACTGTGATTTTAGGGAATACAGAGATGTCTCAACAGGTGGCACACTGCAATATTTGAGCTCTGCTCTCAGATCCAAGTGCCAAATGGCACTTGCTGGCTGTGAAGGATCCTGGCTCAAAGTCAAAGAAAGTCTTCCCAACCACTTTGCAACAAAACTATCCAGTTGTTCCTCATTCAACTTCCAGTTCATTATGCCTGTCTGCTAGGCCCTTGATCTTTTTATCCAGCTAGCATGTGGCTTGAGCATCCTCATATGCTTTAATCTGTTTCCAGTATTTACTTTACTTCTACTGCCTGGAGATGGTGATGATAGAGAGGGACCCAGCAGTAAGGGGAAACTGCACAAAAAAACCCCAAAAAAACAAAGAAACACCTCACAAAACTCCTGTCATTTCAGTGAGAAGGAGATTTCTTTCTTCTGTTTGTTTCAAATACCACACTGAATTATTTTAACAAAAAAGGATGATCAGCAAAGATAAATTTGGGAAGTTAGACTGCAAGTACCTATCTCTGACACAGCAGCACCACTGCTCACCTTGGGGACATCCAAGAAGCAGATGAATGCAAGAATACTTGCGTACATCTCTTGGAAGCTGAAGCAAGCCTTAGTAGCACACATGCATGACCATGTATTCCTCAACAATCTTCATAGACAACATGAAATTATAAGGCTGATAAACAAATTATCTTTCTTCCATTCCAGTTGTTTTTCCTCCCAATTTGCATTTGCTCTGAACAGGGATCTGATGAGGTACTACAATACCAAGCTGTTTCAGACATTTACTGTTTCCTTTCCACATAACTTTGCTGAGGACACAAGAGTGTTATCTTCATCCCCACTACACAGGAATGAAAGTGAACATGAAGCATTCACCACAACCTGTTCAACATCCTACATGGAGTCTGTCATAGAGTCAAGACTTGAGCCCACACATGTTATTTCCTAGTCTAATCCTCCCACACTTAAGTGCATTCAAAGAGCCAGTCTGTCGCTTATTTTCTCACACTCAACCTTGTAGAAAAGTCACCTTGATTACACTCTGCTGTTCTAGTGTGACAGAGACCATCTCAGCATCTTCTTGCATGGTTTGACACAGGATATTTTCCATGGAAGGAGTTTTATTTTGGTTTTGGTTTTGTTTATTGGTGGGGGGGTTTTTGTTTTGGTTTTTTTTTGTTTCCCAAATACAAGGTTTTTTGGGTTGAACAATTTTAAGAACAACTCCAGTTTTCATAGTTATGGAGGAAAATAAATAATCTGCAAAAATAACTGAGTATTACTCAAAAGATCTGTGACCCATGCAAACCACTCAACAAACCTTCTTTCTGAAAGTCTTTTGATACTGCAGAACATGGTTCCAAATTTCTTAACATCTAGATTTCAAAGCAACATTAATATAATGATACAGAGAAGTACCAAGCTTTCAGACAGACAAGTATCTGCAGAAAGAGAAAGGTCCTCAGACTCTACATCCTACTGTAGAGTTGTGATAAGATTAAAAGGACAGGATTTATGCTGGTTTTGTTGTTATTTAAATCATCTCGGATCCTTACCTCGAAATTCAAGCCCTCTGAGCTGAAAGGTGACCAGGCCATTTCCAATTTCGATCAAGTGCACAAAGGCATTTAAATAATCTGATGCCAGAATAAAACAGTCTCCTGTGTTGTAGTTTCCCCAGCGGCCCAGGATCAAATCTCCACAAAGAGACTCCTGCAGAGATCTTGTCAAATGCTCATAAAAAATGGAGTTCAGATTATTGTCGTCATTTCCTACAAACAGAGCAGCATACATTTGTAAAATAAAAAACTATACAAAGCCATTCTCCATAAAATTTTATGTTCTTTTTCATTTCTGCTTAAATCTCCTTCCTCTAGCTAGATGATATCTTCCTGATACTTTATACAATCTACATTTCCTAGGTGGCCCTTCAATGAATCAGGTAAGTATGAACAATATTGTAAATAAAACATCACATTAGTGCTAGCACATATTTCAGACTCAATCAAATTACCTCCATGATTCACAACAGTAAGAATTTCTTGGCTCCACTAAAAGTCTCTGCAATGCTAAGTTAATGTCTACATACTATCTTAATCTAAAGAAACAAAAAATCATTATTACTTCAGAACATATGCCTAAATTTGAACCTTTTTAAACACTTTGGTCGCACAGCAACCAATAATTTTGTTGGGATTTTTTTTCTTTTAGTCCTCCAGGAATTTTTGCAAGGCTTTGTCCATGAAGAATATATGCTTGACATGAGAACTGCTTTCCTTTTCTGCAGTGCATCAGTGTCCCACCTTCAATACTCTCAAAATGCTGGTGCACAAATACATGTACAAACCAACATCTTGTAGGCGTATTTGTATGCATGGGAGTGTATGTAGATACAGGCTGTCATGCATTTTTATCTTTGTGCATATTTAGGAGGAGAGCTAACATGGAGGTGAAAAAACCCAGAAGATGAGGCTTGCAGAGGCTATGCCTTTCCTACAAATTCCTCCTTGATACCAGAGGAGGAGAGGGCCTGTAACTGCACTGCTTTTTGTGCCCTCAGCCATTACGCACCCAGCCCTGGTAGGTTTGTCCTTGTGTGCCCGTGTCCATGCAGACACACTCACCTGTGCACCTTCTGGAGTGTATTGGGTCAAAATATAAGCAAGTCAAAAAATAAGTCTTTTAAGCACATGCACTAAAGGAATGCTTTTCTTGAGCTACAGAGTTTAAAACATAATTCACTTATTAGCATATACAACAATGGTAAAAGTCATTGCTATCAGATGACAAAATGTCCTTGGGAAAAATCTTAGCTCCCTGCCTTAAATGTTAAATAATTAAAAAGCACCATTCATGCTTCAAACTACTAATACCTCTCTTGCCTTCTTGGACAGCCTGGATTTAATCAATTTCTGCTTGACGATGTGTATTTGTTCATGTTTATTTGTTCATGTTATTGATGTAATGGATAAGGATAAAAAGGGTATGAAGGGTAAACCAGCAATAATTAAAATGTAAATTTCTAACTCTACAATACAACCCCAGCCATCTATGTGGCAAGATAAAATTGCCCTCATAACACTAAAGTGAAAAAACCCATATATTCAACCTTAGCCTCTCTCACTGGGACCGGATTTTGGCACGTGACACTGGTATCAGCTCCCCTGCAAAAGGGGCCCTGTCCCACCAGGCACTGAAGAGTGCCAGCTGATGTAGCACATGTTCTCTGTGTCCACTGATGTGCCAAAAACTGCTCCCACTTCCCAGTCTCACAGGAACCACTCAGTGTGGCCAGGGAAGCTGCTTTGCATGGCCATGGTGCTCATTTAATACACTGACACCCAGCAGAACAGCCCACCATCTTTCCTACCTCTTCCTCTTGCAAGTTTCCCAACTTCCCTTCTATTCCCTCTCAAAAAGGTTACTCTCCAGGGAAGAGGAGACAGCAGGGGTACCACTAACTTGCTGCTTTTTCTCCAAAACCTTTCCCTGCCCTCAGCTGACCTCTGAGTCTAGCTAGGGTGCCTGCTGCATATTCCACACAAACTCCAGGGTTATGATTAACCAAGCAATCGGCAGCCCAGCAGCTCTCTGTCTGATCAGCTACACATAACTGAGGAGTGAATTTACTCATCGGGTCACACAACTTGAACTGGTGCTCTGCTACATTTAAAATGCTCTGGTTTGTACACACAACATTTAAACCCTTTGCATCTCTTCAGCTTCCCCAGCAAAGCCTCAGCAGTGTAAATATATCACATTCTGCAAATGAAGCAAGACACCCAAACTCCCAGGCCATACCTGCATCTTTTTCGATCTGAATTGCCAGTCTGGTGTTGGAATGGTCCGATCTTTTGGTGCTGGAAATAAAGACATGTTTACAGCCAATTCTTCTTTTTAAATAAACAATTCTCACAATAAACATTTTTTTTTTTTTTTTTTTGTTTAACATGTCTCTTCATTTTGCATTTATATAATTAGGCAGTTCACACTAATCCATTCATCAGGCATACATAGCTATTTCAGGTCAGTATTGCTATTGATATTGTAACTTATCAGCACACTCTTTCTGCCCATTTCCCTTCTTGTGGGACACAGTCCATTCAGAATTTGGAATCTGACACAATGCTATGTACTTAACTGATTGAACTGGCTCCAGAAACAGATCAGCCAGGTGCCACCAAAACAACGAATAGAAAGAATATTTAATCAGTCTTTCTTTCCTTCTAAGCCTTAAGGGAAACAGCTGGACTCAAGAAGTTTTCTTTGGAAAAACAATAATACAAAAACACTTTACTTAGTTTCATACTTAGCTAGGCAGCAACAGGAGAGTCCTTGGCCATTCTTATTGCTTGAAAAAGAGTAAATTAGAGGGCCTTAGTTCATGCAGGCACTAACCCTGTCACCCTTATGAATGGCACATTCCCTATTCACTATTTTCACTGTAACTGTGGAATATAAACAACACAGGAAAAATGATTACAAAAGAGAAAGCAACTAAAAGGGTAGATTGGATTGAGCTTTTATTACTACCTGTAAGAAAAGATACTATTAAAGTTGTAAAATAAGGAATGAGTAAATCGCTGAGGGCCAGGATGTGTTAAACAGAAGAGAATGATTGCTGTGGTGAGCAGGGATATTCAACACCAAGTCCAAAGCACCTCCCAAGCACCCAGGGGTATTTGGGGTAAAAGTGGAACTCTGGCGAATAAAAATGCTATAGTAAACATCAATTTCTCTGAAATACTGCTCTGGCATGGGTATATAAGGATTTCAGGACACTTCATTGAGAATATTGCCTCAAAAGTTTCTCCTCAGTCATTAGCCTTAACAGAAGACCTAGCTATTGTTGGAGCCCCAAGCACAGAAAATGTCCCTTTATCTGTGCTGACAGGCTCAGGTGCTCAAGAGAACACTGGGTTTAACTTAAGACCATGGAGAAGGCTTCTAAAACTGAGTAGAGAAACTGGGAATGTGAATGTGTGAGTTAAATAGAATTATATTAAGTCACTGGGTGAAAAATAGAGTTAAGAGTTTGAGATATAGTAGTGAATAAGAGACAAGATGGAGGTTCTTGGGCATTGGTTTGTCTTTGCCTTTCTTCCCTCTTCTTCATGGATTTTAGTAATATTGTGTGATTAAGTGAAAAAGTCCCCAGTGCAGAACATGGGGGTTTGGTTATTGGGTTAAAAGTAAAAATAAATTAGTTGGTATTTGATAATTGGATCGTTTATGCTTAAAAGACCCTGTGGACAGGGCCTGAAGTTGCCATTTGTAGCTTGTTAGGTTAGTGTGTAGAAGAACTTACAATCTGTAAAAATGTAATATAGATAAGGTAAAATAAACATCCTCAGTCCAAATGTGAAAATCATCTCTCTGCTTGTCAATCCTGATCCAGGGGAAAAGAATTGAACACTTTTACAGTTGGTGCCTCGTATGAGACACTTTTACATTTGGTGCCCCAGAGACTTTTACAATCTATCTAATATGTAAACATGATCTCTCATTCCTTGGAAAATAAGATTAAAGCAAAACCAGGAGAAAGCCCAAACAACAGCCAGCATAAGGTTATGTGTGACAGTGGCAAGGACCTCATCTGTACAAAGGCCTGCAAGCACAGGGGAGAAGAGCCACATCACCACCTCCCCTGGCATGGGATCCAAGGGAGACACCCAGGTGTGGCCCTCACCGAGTCCTTGGTGGAACTGCAGTGAGACTGGCACGGCTGGGTGGGACTGGCTGGGGTCTGGCTCATGGTGTGTGGAGCACAGCGCCCAGAGGAGATTTTGAACAGGCTGGAGATTGACCAGTCAGCCTCCACAGCCTGAATTTAACTACTCACTGTAGAAGACCTGCAGACGTGACCCAAGGAAGATGGCACCAAAGAGGGATCAGTTATAAGGGAGGCTTTCAAACAGCTTAAATAACACTGAAAAAGGATGGTATAAAGATAATGCTGTCTTTGAAACACAGCAGAGACTCAGTACCGCTTTCCAGGATTCTGTGTGTAAGCTGATGCTGAATCCAACTGGGAGAAGGATGCCACTGATGTGTTACAAAGTCTTTTCATCTACTCCCTACAGCCTCTCCAAAAAAGTTGTGGAAAGCTGACCAACAGAAACATTGCACACAGGTTTCTATGTAGCAGACAAAAGAGAAATAGATTTGCTTTAGTTCTAATTCCTACCAAAAGCAACTGATTCTTTTCCTTAAAAAGGCACATTCTCTACTTTGCAAAAAGTATGACTGAGAAAATAAGAGTCTTAATTAAAATTATTTGTAATTAATATTAGTATATTATCTACATAGATTAACATTTTATTTGAGCTATTATTTATCTTCCTGCTTCTGGTTGGCTCAGTTCATTGTAACTGCAATTATAATTTCCTAGTCAACAGAAAATGGCAATGGGGGAAGGGCCTTCTAAGCAGTTCAGAATATAAAGAATCATTTCTCTTTAAAAAGGTTGTCAGAATTCTTCCACCCTGATATATATCCACCTGCATATGCAAGAGTAAGCATAAACATTAGGTTGTGGAATTCAATCAATTTCCTATTCTCAGCAGAGAAGCACTGCTGATTTCCAAATGCCTATGTTTTAACATTATGAGACGCTTTATTAACTTTCAGTCCCTCTGAAATCAGTGTGGTAGTGTAAGGTAAAAGTTAATACTATTCTTTACCCCTGTTTTTTACCATTTCTGTTCTGGAGGCACATTGAGACCCATAAAATCAACCAATACTTCAGAAAATTCTAATCTATAATAAACAGGAATCCTTTTGCCCAGCATGCAGCTCTGGGTCTATTTCTTCCCCATCCCCCCCTTATTTTTTGCTTTGACAGAAAGATGCATGAAACAATCAGGGTAAATCACAAGTGCTTTGGGACACTGCAAGACGGATGATGCAGCCTGACTGGGAAAAAGGGAAGGAAATAGAACAGCTCTCACAAACAAAAAAAACCCCAACAAAACAAAACCAGGCTCCATTAAGGCTTTGTTTAAGCAGCTAAAACATGGGCCTTGGGACATGAGACAAGAATTTACCTTTTCAGACAATACTAGAAAAACTCAAATCTTTATACAGCTATTATGAGGTATAATTTTATTTCATTTTTTTAAGACCAAGGGTAATATAGACAGTTTATAAAGTAAACTTCCGTGCTGAAATTCAGCTCAGTCAAATAAATGCCGTCAGGTAATCAATTCTGGATTTTAAAAGACTTCTACAATTATTAGTAACCAAAGCTGTGTTTGTATCTTCTTGAAGGCAATGGGAATTTGCATTGGATTAATCTATAATCCACTACACCTAACAATCAAACCAGCAACACCTTTACTTCTCAACCAGGACCTCTCACTGTGAACTTTTGGGATTAGTAGGTGATTTGGGCTTTCCTCCTGTGGCTTCTTACTTTATATTTGATTGTTACCATTCATCCAATGTGATAATTAACTCAGTAATTGAATTTCTTCCTGAATTGCATTATTCTATGCAAACCAAGTACAGTTCCTCCAGCAACTGCCCTAGAGAAAAAGTGACTGTGTTGGACTGTCTTCAGCTAAGTCCTCAGCAATTTAAAGCCAACATCCTGCTTAGTTCCTGAAATATCTATTTCATGCTCTTTTAATCCCCCATTTACATGGACACTGAGATAACTCACTGGTTTGTGTAGCACTGTTCATGCCACTAAAACTATTGCTTCCCTTTGCAAAAAAAAATAAGTAATTTCCTATCATCTTCCCAAACATACTGCCTGGAAAGATTTTCTTCTCCCACTTCAGTTTTCCAGTTTCCTTAGAAAGAGAGAAAAAAGGCTGAGGGGGATTAGGAGAGTCTGGAGAATACAGAGAGTATACTGAGAATCAGGTAAATTGAGGAAAATAAATAAATCATTGCTGTTTTGAGGCTAAATAAATCATTATTTCCAGAAGATCAAAATAAAATTCCAGCTGTTCTACCTGCCTTGCTGCTGCTGAGTTTTACCCCAAAACACAAATTCAAGATTTCCAGGATTCCTGCTGTGTAGAAGAGGATCTCTACTTTGAAAGAGAACAAACCAAAGAAAAGCAGTTTCCCTCTGGGAGATGCAGAGATGCCTTTCTAGGGTCAATCCAAAGTTTTTCTTTGTCTGTGTCCAATGAATTTTAATCCAGTCTTCGATGACATCTAACAGGCAAATTTAAAAGGGAGAAACTTTATTGTGCTGCAGCCCTATGATTATTCATGGGAATCTGGAAAAAAAATCTTCAGTATTTTCATGTGAATGCCTAATGCTGCTGGCTCTATAAACAAAGGCTTAGCATTAAAAACACAGTAGCAGTTGCCTACAATGTGAGGGAGGAGGAAAATGACACGGCAGAATAAGCAGGCACACATCGGTATTTGAAGGACACCAGAGGTAAAAACGATGGTATTAATTGGAAGGGGAAGGATACTGAAGTAGTTTTGAATCAATTTCATCTAAAAGACAGAATGATTTCAGTGTGGTTTTAACAGCCAAGGCTGACAGCCCCTTCATGTGTGACCCTGCCCAGGTTTTTCTGGGTGGCTGCATGGAAGAATTAAGTTGGGTTTAACTCACATGAAGAAAGAGGGATCTCTTAAAAATGAAAGCAATTTCTCCTTCCTGATCACTCACTCCTACTTTAATTTTTTTATGCTTTCTTCCTCCTCTCCTTCCCTGACTGGGCCATTGTTTCATCTAACAACAATAAAAAGTGGCTTTGATTGCACACTAGAAAACTGGGGGAGGGCTAAGCTATGAAAAGTCCCAGTTATTAAAAGACAGCACTGTTGAAGCATCCTTTTAAAACATAGAAAGGTCTTATTATCAATAATGCTTCCTGTTCTTAGAGTC